AGCAGGTTAGTAAATTTGGGATATATGCACAATAGAATCCACTCCGCTATAAAAAAGATTAATTCTTCGCATTTGTCACCACGTGGACAGAGACAGGGTGAGACGGGGATGAAGTGGAAGGCAGATGTTCAGTGAAATAAGTCATAAGGAGAAGGACAAATACTGGACAATTTCCCTCATATAGGGAACACAGAGAAACAAAACAAAGGAACTGACAAAATCAAACCACAATAAATCCTAGAAACATGATTATAAATCAGAGGGCAAGGGGAAGGAGGGGAGCAATGAGGGCCGGACCACATGGTGCCTGGGGGTGGGTGGGGGTGCAAGGTGACAGGCCCTGCAAAAGTGTGAGCGATACCTCTGGATCAGTGCTGCAAATCACTGGTGCTGCAATAAAAACAATTTAATTAGCAAGCTAATCTGAAGGCTGCCTCTACTCGGGCTCACCGAACCATCCCAGTGCAACCTCCTGTCTCAGCCCCACTGACCACGTGTTCTCAGGCTGCCTCCTCCATTCTCCTGGCTCCAGTTGCTCCACTGGGCCCCCCCTGATCCTGAGTGATCAGCAGAGCACCCAGCCCTGCTGTTCCCACTTACTCCTCCTCTCTGCACCCTAACTTCAGTGGCAGTTGAAATGCTAGACTCCCAAATGTGTCTTTAGCCCAGATCTCTTATCTGAAGGTGAGTGAGTCTGGATTGTGAGGTATATGTGTGTGAATATAGAAACTTCCTAAAGGACGGCAGTTCAGCAAGACCTATGAAATGACTTACCAAGTTAGAGTCTCTTATGAAATGACCACCATTTCAGTTTAAAGGGGAAATGTTAATATGCTGTAAATCTAATAAACTCCTGATGAATTAAAATGCTTGTAGAATATTCCAGATAAATTAATATTTTAATTAAACCAAGTTTTGGAGCAGATACCAAGATGTAAACTTACTTTATCTCAATAAACATAATGGGGGGAGGGGAAATTCCAGGTTCAACTTCTTAAAAAAAAGTTACCACATACTTTATTTAATAGATACAATATTCAGGACACAATTTAATTTCTGATTTTTAATTCCTAAACTTAAAGCAGCTTCATGTCAAAACCATGAATATCTATCCACTGAGTATATTTAGCTTTGAGTTATACCAAAAATAAAGATGAGTTGAATCTGTACTGCTTCTTGGACTCACCTGGAATTTACTCAAATTTCAACATTTAATTATCCACATTCTTCCATTTTATAAGTTTTTTATGCAAAAGTTAATTTACAACGGAAGACTCAGTAGTTAGCCTCAGAGAGAATTTATAAAGGACTTGTGGCAAAGAAAAATAAACATCTAACAAAGAAGCAGAGATGTGGAAAACACAAGACTGAAGCTTCAGAAGCAAATGGTTACACTTTTTCAGGGGTCTACCCATTAACCACACCTCTCATTGGTTTTGTGGAAAACTCAGAAACAGTATGTGGTGTTTTGTGTGTGTAGTTCAAGAGAATCAAGACCAGTATTAGTTTTTTCCCAAGAAGATCCCAAAAGCACAAGCCTTCACAATGCAGAAACATGTAGACTTACAGTTTGACTCCATTACCACTCCCAAATAAACACCTTTCCACTTCTCTACACCCCAGTAATCCCAGAGAGCATACTAATAACTGCTGTATCAGCCTCCTCTTAGTAGCTGCCTATCAGTGCCAGATTCCCTTGGCTTCTGTTTCTAACTGGTTGACCTATCAGGAAGTTCTACAAACTTGGGGGTGGGAGGGGTCTTTGAAGCCTAGAACCTATTTACAGCTGAGCAAATGCTCATTACTTGACAGCAGGTGAGAACCCACATGTTGAGTTATGCTTAGCACTGATGACTGTTTTCGTCACCCAGATTCTTTGCTCATTTATATAGAAATTTTGGAAGTAAGTGCAATCGTTACTCTTGAGTAACTAAGGGAACTAATTCACTTATTACATAAGCATATAACTACTAAATATTCCTAAAGTATTTCTATTTTGCCTAACAATCATAAAATAGTAGTTATCATATTTTTTAATTCACCCAAACTGTATGATGTTAATATTTTCCTCATGTAGTTTGGGTATTTTGATACCCAAACAATTTTATTAATTTCCCCAACTGAAGTGGATTTTTTTTTAAGATTTATACAGAACTGGGTACAGGCCAGAAGTGCAGGGGGCAGTGAGAGGATTAACCAGAGACAGAATGGGGAGCAGATCGACGAAGTACACTTCTGAGGGGAGCAGCGGGCAAGTCAGGAGAAGTCTGCTGCGCCATGTGGATCACCTCCGGGGCAGACAGGAAGTGGCTTTAGCTTCTTAGTGCTGTGCTTTAACCCACTGTGCCACCAGGGAGGGCCCTGAAGTAAATTTTATTCTGTTGGGAAGCTTGGCAAAATCTAGGGGTTATATCAAACAAAACTATAAAATTTATTTACAAAGATATTACTTTTGTTTTTATCTTCCCTAATTGTTCATCCCTTCTCTGAAAAAAAGATATAAAGGTCATCTAAAAGTGGAATGGGTTAGATCATCTTTGTTGGAAAGTTCTAAAATCTTCCTGCAATATTTTTTAAAGATTTATTTATTTATGCATAAAAGAAGTGGAGTGTAGGTCAGAGGTGCGAAGGAAGTATGAGAGGATTCACCAGACAGAGTGAGGAGCAGAACAGAGAGATCCACTGAAATGTCTGCTGAGCCATGTGGGTCAGCTCCCTGACTGCTGCAGTGGCTGGCCATAGCTTTGCAGTGCTATGTCTTTAACCCCTGAGCTACCAGGGGGGCCCTCTTCATGTAACGTAACTATGGCATCAGCTTAGTTGCTGTTCTGGAAAGCTCATTTTTGCAGTTATCTAATGTAAACAGAGGACCAAAGTAATAATTGAATCTCAACTGTGAGTCAGAGAACTCAAACTTCTAGTTTGGAAGTAATAGCAATTTAATGGACAAACAAACCATCATCACAGTGAATAAAATACTGAAGCACTGTTCTCTTTTCATTTAACAGCAAGAAGAATTATTTGTTGTCATATATTTAAAAGTCTATAAAACCAAGTTAACATACTGACAACTAAAAAAAAGACTATTACAATTTTCAGAGACACAAATTTAGCACTACAGACATTATACAAGCAAAATAGATAATACCCATGTCCAGAGCTTACTAGAAATCTCATCATATACCTCACCAATTTATTTGAAGTTACATTTCAGACAAAATGGACATTTTTTAAAAACTTATAAATATATAAATCCAAACCACAAAACATCTCCTAAACATTTTATTTACTCTAAATAGAAATGGATTTTTGGAGATTGCATTCACAATGCTATCTAAACTAGATTGTATGAAAATTTTAATATATTTAGCTATATCTTGGGGCTTATATTCATTGGGTCTCACCCCATATACAGTTTCCCATCAAACTTGGGGATACATATTCCCAAAGTTCATAGTTATACAATTAAAACCAAACTATTATTCTAGCAACAAGACATTTTTTCCTGTGCAAGGAGAATGGAACTGGCCCACTGTAACTATATCACAAGTATTCCATGACAAACAAGTTCAAGTAGTTTTAGTAATGCCCTTTCTAAGAGTTACAAATATTTTCATGTTAATCATCAGTAATGGGTTTTTTTTTTTTTTTGCTTTGTGGGTAGAAGGGAGTGGAAGACTACTTTCTGTATACTCTATTCCCTCATACCTAAAATCTGCTAAAACAATTTCCTGTCATAAATATGTACACTCAATCTCCCCTACATCTAGAAACCTCATCATGAAAAGAAATTCATTAAGTCGAGTCACACAGCTTACACTTTTATTTAAAATAACTGTGTAAGAATCTGAATCCATTCTGAAATGGACTTAGCAACACGCTGACTCTCCACTTCCACTGTTCTTTCCAGAAGGGTCATTTCAGGCGGTCATCAGCTCCATGTTTCCCGCCCATCTTTTTGCCTGTCTGCTGCACCCTCGTCTCGAACACAAACCTAAGGCGTCATATTTTGGTATGATCACTAAAGTACAGCAAAAGACACAGATTCTCAGTACTTGAAACTGTGGGTAACAACATCTCATGAACTGTTTCTGGGTATCCAATGCCACGTTTTTTACCCCAAATTTTTACAGGATTAAGTCTGCATTGAATTTAAAACACAAAATGCTCATAAACACCTAGTAACTGATTTAAAAGAAACCTCTTTCAGGATAAGGGGTAGGCTGATTAAGCAACATGGTTTAAAAAAAAAATTAAACTGAACTGAAATGTTTTAAGGGAAGACTCCTGAAATTTTCCATATACAAGAACTACCCTGTGAGAATTTCAGAGCAGACAAAGGAGAAAAGAAAAGTGGAGAAAAAGCTGTACCTCAAAAACAAAGGGCCACATTCTGTCATGAAGTTTACTCTGATGCAAATTCCTCAATGTTTTTCATTCTCTTTAGTAATGTGGCAAAACAGGTATTTCACTGAAGGCACACGGGAAAGGCCTCTTTCCTCTTGGCATTGGAGAATGAGCAGGGGGCAGGCAATGATTAGAGAAAAAGAGCCTGCAAGGACCCACGGGAAGCCCCATTTCCAAAGGCTGAGTCTTAGAACAGCTTTCCCCTGGTGTCCACTCACCACTGTGACTATGGATGATTACTAGAAGGGTCATTTCCCCCAACCCCAATCTTCCACCAAGCCCGCTGCAGGCAGCACACGTAGCCCTGGGCTGCCTGTGCTGAGTGAAGCCCGCCCTCCCCTGGGGAGACTTCCCACAAGAGCTCCATGAGAGCTGAGCTTAGACATTTTTGCTTCTGTGCTGACACCTACATAGAAATGATTGTTTTTGCTTCCAGCATACAAGAGAAGCAAGTCAATAAATAGTATGATGGAAAACAAACCACAAACATTTGGCCAGTGGCCTTGTCAATGCCTTAGACACTGTTTCAGATGAATAGAAAAGAAGTTGTCTAATGTGGCAACTGATGTCCAGTTTCTTAGATTGCATATTAATTAAGAAGAAGGTGCCATACAGTCTAGAAACTCATGACAAACACACTGGCAAAAACCATACACCATGAGAATAACGAGGCTCGAGGGGACGAGGCTGACAAAGACGACCCCAAGGGTGACTTTCTTAGAGACCAGTAAGTAGATTCCTAAGGGTAAGGAGCTGAAGTACAGCAAACCTAGCAACCAGACTAACACGCGGATGGACGTCTGAAACAGCAGGGACGTGCAATTCCACACAGTCCAGTTGTGTGACACCGTGGTGACAGAGTCGAAGCTAGCCGGTCTGTAAAATTCCACCACGGGAGTAGAGTTCAGAGATGGAGAGCTCTCCCTCTGCACCTCCATGATGGTGATAACCAGGCAGTTGGAGGACGTGTGAGACGGACTGACCAGAGAGGCCAGCCTCTTGGGGGTCAGCAGCAGCTCCGTGGGGTTCTCTGGCAAGCACTTCTTGCCTTTGCCACCACTGCAAGTCAAGTTTACGAGGATGTTGTTGTCGTCTGGCAGGCTGCTGACCTCGTCATCAGGCAGGCAGGTCTCAAACCTGCAGAAAGGACAGACGATGACGCCCTGCGGGGAGTCCCCAAAGTCTATGATCTTGTAGAGGCATTTGGCACAGACTCTGTGGCAACACTCCAGCACTTTGGGTTTCCTCTGCTTCAGATTGTAGCGGTTGTAACAGATCTTACACTCCAGCTCGTCAGAGACCTGAGCCTCGGCAGCGTCTTCTGGCGGCTGGCTGGCCATCATGACCAGTGGATCTGACCTTTGGCCGACTGCGCCTTGTGGGAGAACCACTTTGGTTAAGGTGCCCGGCTGTACATCACAGCATCCAAACCAGGCAGAGGTGCAGACAGGCAAGGAACGTAGTGACAGCCAGCACTTCCCCAGGCATGTTCAGGTTCTATGCTGTAGAGCTCTGCCTCAAACGCATATCTGAAAAGGCCACATGTAGGAGCTGCAAAGGAAAAAAGAGATTTTAATGTAGTGAACAGCTCACTAAAATATGCTTTCTGGCATTTTCCGAGCTTCAATGACTAGATGCAATCGTCTTACAAGGTTAAGTCATCTTCATCTTTTTAAACATTTCGACCCTCCAGACAGAAAAATACTATCTCCATGCTCAATTTTATCCATCTAAAAATATGATAATCAATAAGGAATGAGAATACTAGTGGTATAAATACACTCTGGAATACTGTTGAATATAGACAGAGATTTTTCTCTCTGAAATTTCTAACAAAGTCTGACTTCTTTGAAAATGAGTATGACATGTATCAGAAACAAATACATTTGCAATCAAATTCTGTTCATTATAGACTAACTCAGAGTACTACTGGGTACCAATTCCTGTTGTCTGAATACCCTCCAAGGTGCACAGGAATTTATATAAGAAGGGAAATCTTAAGATAAATGTTAAATGTGTTTTCAGAAAGTACTGTGCCACAGATGGGAGCATATTTAAATACAACAGGCTGTTCTCACCTTCCCAGTTTAAAAATGTGTTATAATGCCTTTATTATTTCACTACTCAATTTCAAACTTTGTGTTTGAAACTGATCTTGAAAACCAGTTTTACACATATATTCACTCAAGAGAAAATGAAGCCTATGACACCTGACATATGAATAGTTTATAAGCATAACAAACAAGGCAAGTCTAACTCCCCCAAGAGAAGCAAACACACAAGGCACACCCACAGCCGGCCTCCCCACATAAAGCACCACATACACACAGCTACCCAGAAATACTCAACGTTCACCTTCCTGCAACTTTATTGCAGATTTTATTATGAATATTTATAACATTCACTTATTTCACTCTCTTCCTATAGTGACCATAAAGTGTTACACAATCAACAGCATAACCTTGGCCCTGGTTACAAGGTCCAGCTGGACAAATGTGCAGTCAGTTCTCAGTACTAATGGAAAGAAAGGGTCAGTATACAGAAAATCTCCAAACAGTGTTTATTTTGCTTCAATACATGTGGTGTTTTGGGCAGTAGGTATGTCTTAAATTATGTTTACTTGGACAAATATCAAAATGTAGTTGAATTTCTGAGCACACCCACAAGCATAGCAGAAGACTGCCATAATAATTCTGAGAAGTAGAGAATAATTATGCTAAAATTTAAAATTTGCTATGGATCATATGCCCTCACAGAAAATAGGCAGCAGGTAGCTAAGTTAGATAATTTTTGAAATTATGATAGGTGGTTCCTGGCTACATATTTTCCTTTTTACTTAAGACTTTAGCCAATTTTATAACTGTCGTCTTATGATTCAAGAATTATTACAGCTATCAGTAGCAAGACATTCTCAGTGGGAAAAGGAAGTCAATCATTAACCAGAATCTCTGGCATCAGCTAAATAATGTAGGTAGGTTTTTAAAAATAAGAGTTTATTGTATATGAACGCATATAATTCAAAACTGCTACCATAAACCAATTTCTGTATATCCACAAAAAAGAATACAGGCATAAACCTCACCTCTTCTATTCCCTTTTTCTTCCATGTGCCTTAAGTATTTTCTTCTTTCCTAATCCCGATCTTATTCAGGATCCATGTGCTCATGTCACTGTAAACCAGGGTAAGTCTTGAACACGCAGCTGGTTTTCTAGTCTCCCATGGATGAACACCTCCAGGATGAACGTCAGCGAACAAGAAGGCCCCTGTCCCTGTCACCACTCCCAGCCCAGCTGTCTTCACAGGATGATCTCCAGCCCTGGGCAGTTCCCCAGTGATCTGCTCACTGGGTAGCCCCCCACTCATCTCTTCTCCGGGGTAGCCACATGCAGAGTAAAGACCCAGCCTAACTGAATGTGCATATTCTCCTTGTAGCTACCTTCTCATTCAACCTCAGTGCCCTCGACAATCAGCACTGAAGCAGATTGTAATGGGACTGTGAGCCCTGCCATCCCAAAGACTGGTTCATGTGAAGTTGTGTGAAGCAGGAAAAGTATGCAAATAGATACATAAAGAACATCAGGGAAAGAGAGAGTAAAATATTCAGGGAGGATAAATAAACAAAATGCTATCTAGAAATACAGATATACCAACAAAAGGCGTCTGTGTGTGAGAACATGTTACACTGTGTCAGCACCTGACAGTCACCTGATCACAGCCAACACCTGTGCCCAGCTCCCAACGCTGCACAAGGTGCAGATACGTTAGACTGCTTGGGCCCACTGATCGCATGGAGTAGATAGATGATTTACTGAGTTATTATTTGAAGCAAAGCTTTCTGTTGCACAAAAAAAATTCTACAGATATTTATGTGTTAAGATACAGTGGTATGTGGCCATAACATTCACATTTATAAAAAAAAATCATAAAGGAGGCTTCTTGGTAACACATAAAGATAACACTCAATGTTGAAATATACAATCAAAAAGATACCTACTTTAACTTGAAAGCCAAGTCTAGCAAACCCACGCCATCAGCTGGAAATACTTCATCAAGTCCTGCTGCTCACAGTGGCCTCTCTGGGTGGGGCTGGCGACGGCCTTGAGCTGGGTAGCATCCTGGGACGCAGCAGCCAGTCCGTTCCTAGAATGGTATGTAACAGTAGGTGATCGCCCCCACGGGTCTTAAAAACGCATACCTCATCTATCTCATCATGACTCTAAGGTCCCCCAAAGAATTCAAGTCACCAAACATCTGTCACTTTAGAGCTGTTATTTGGCCCTCTAACAGCTATGTGCCCAAATCCGCCCACCCTGCCTTCACTCCTGTCTAAAGCTGAGAACGGCAATGACAATGCTGAGTGAAAGAATCTGACCCAAAAGACCACACGCTGTACGATTCCATTTCTGGACAATGCAAATAAACAGGCGAAACTGAGCTGTAGTGATTAGGGATATGAGTTAAGGTGATTAAAATGATGAAGAAAAGTCACACCGATTAGATAAAAAGTGGGGGAGCAGGAGCCTTAGGGAGGTCAGGGGGACTCAGGACAGGCTGCCAGAACTCTGTCTTTCACCTGGGGAATACTTAGGCATGTTCACTCTGAGCTGGGCTATCAGTACACGTTCTTTACTGCTGTTAGCTTTCACAGCAAAAGGTGTAAAAAAAAAATCTGTGGCTAAGTGTTTTGGGTATTTTTATAGTCAAGATTTTTCTGTCCATGGATATTTTGATTCAATTTATCTCTTTTTTCCTCTGTTACCTGCAAGCCTGTTCATTTTTCCCCCCACAAAAATGAAACGTCATTTATTAATCATCTTAATGTCCATATTGGTAGCACAATATGAAAATGATGATGATGGTTGGGATGAGCAAGTATGGACTATTCCTTGATGAAAACAACTGCTAACAGTAAGTCTCCTCCAGGCACAGAGAAAACACTATGATACAATAAGACTGCCTTAAAAACAAATACATGCAGAGGCCACCCTGGTGGCTCAAGGGGTTAAGACATGGCATTATGAAACTATCTGCAGTCACCACAGCACAAATTCAATGCCCTGCCAGGGAGCTGACCCACATGGCACAGCAGACCTCTCCTGTATCACCTGCTGCTCCCCTCAGCAGTGTATTTCAGTAGATCTGTCTGTTCAAGCTCCCGCTCTGTCTCTGGTGACCCCTCTCACCACCACCTCCCCCGCCCCCACCCCAACACTTCTTGCCTATATCCCAGCTCTTGTATAAATAAATAAAATAAATCTTTAAAACTAAAAAAATAAATACAGGCAATTATGTGAAGTGATAGATGTAACCTCTCAGATTGTGGTCAACACTCTGTAATCGATATAATAGCAAATCATCACATACATCTTTATTTTAAATAATGTTATATGTCAATTATATCTCAATAAATCAGGAAGAAATAGAAAAATTTGCCTGCGAAAAATGCATATTAAAACATGTGGAGCTTGTATTCTTTATTAATCCATTAAAGGGTTAGCCTTTAACCCTTTTGTAAGTCACCAGGGAAAAGAATATACAAATAGATAAATCAGCTTCAGCTACTGAACAAATTACTGTCTTTACCCCCCTAATAGGTTCAGTACTTACAATGTGGCACCAATCCATTTCCTCCACTTCTCAGTCCCTCTGATAGTAAAGATGAAATGTTGCTTACATCTCCAAGCAAAGTCCCTCCAGTAGTAGTCTGCTGTTTTTGTCTGCCTAAGCCCACACTGCTCCCTCCCCAACTGGCCACTGGAAGGGTCCCCCACTCACTGTGCTTGTGGCTGAGCTTCATGCACTAGCCTGCAGCTACCTTCTCTCCATAGATGTGCGTGTGTGTGCTACTGCTGGCTGGTCACAGTACCCGCCAACCCCCGCCCACAGGGCTGAGCCTCCATGGACAGTGACCCTAACCAGAACTGCCCGCGCTCCTTCTTAGGACTTGTTTGATTTGAAGCTAGAGGAAGAGGGAATACGGCAGCCAGGGGAGGAAGTACAGTGCCAGAAAAGGAGCTGTCATGTCATCAAGAGGACGGGACGGGTAAGAGAAAAGAGAGTTTCCAAAATAAAAAGAGAAGAAAAGAAAAGCAGGAGGCAAAGATAAAGACAGATGGACAGACAGCTGATGAAAGCCGAATTAGATTTCTGGATCTAATTGTGTGTGAAGGCTTCTGTGTGTCAATAAGTACCCTTTTATGTCTATGTTGGCTTCTCAAAGAGGCTTGATAAGTTATTATGCTGTATTGACTTGGAGAATTTATTGAGCTTTTTAAATTTAAGTTCCTAATGGGTAATATACAAATTATAAGTAAATAATCGAGTAAATAAATTTTCAAGCATGCACATACACATACATATGAACTTATATATGTGTGTGTGTGTGTGTGTATACACACACACACAAATCAACATACATATGTTGTTTACTAGTACTGTGTGTTTATTTTGTTAATTTCAGCTCTTCACTTCCTTCCACCCACCAGTCTGAATGAAGCCTTCTTCCTCCCCTTCCTCCCCTGAATGAAGCTTTCTTCCACATA